ACTGGGACCAATATCTCCCGTTCTTCACAATGGCCTACAGATCTGCTGTTAATGAATCAACAGGCCAGACACCAGCCAGAGTCCTATTCGGACGCGAGATGCGACTACCTTGTGATCTAGAGTTTGGGTGTCGACCTGGAGAAGATGTAGCAGGTGAAGATTATGTGATCGAATTGCGAAGAAGAATGGACGATGTACACGAGTTGGTCCGTTCCCATCTCCAAATCGCTAGTGACCGAATGAAGAAACGGTACGATACACAAGCCGAAAAGGGGTGTTTTAAGAAGAACGATAAAGTCTGGCTTTATAACCCCAAAAAGCGAAAAGGTTGTTCTCCCAAATTGCAGCAGTTTTGGGAAGGTCCATACCTCATTATGGAGAAGATCAATGATGTTATTTACCGAATAAGCAAGATCCCGAGAGGAAAGCCGATGATAGTACACCATAACCGGTTGGCGTCTTTCGAGGGTGACCACGACGTAGATGAAGAAGTGGAAGTAAACCAAGTCCAAGATGTGTCTGACCTCACGTTTGAGGAATTCATGGGTGCCTATGGAGGTACCGGTAAAGCAAGACATGGTGTTACCACTGAAGAAAGGCAAGATCTACTCGCGCTTCCCGATGACTATTCACTGGCCCTTACCATCCCGGCCATTATCAAAGATGCACCAGGGTTGGCATCCGTCTTTCGAAGGAAGTTTGGTCGAGTTGCAGAACTTCAATGCCAAGTGCCAGCTCCTGGTAAAACCTTGAAACTTCAAGATGCATCACGTTACCTTTTCTACCTGGTAACAAAAGACACTGCCCGTGACCAACCTACCTACCGAGATGTATGGGAAGCCTTACTTCAGTTGAGAGAGCACGTACTAGAGTCCGACGTGCAAAAGTTAGCCATGCCAAAGTTAGAGTGCCACCAATTAGATTGGAGGGTTATACGAAACATGGTGGAGGAAATCTTTAAAGACACCGAAGTCCAGGTGTTAGTCTGTTGCAATCCGCATAGTTACTGGTGCGGAGAGAAAACCGTCCCTTGTCATTTCTATACAACTGGAAGTTGTAAAAGAGGGTCCAGTTGCCGATATCAGCATGCCGCTCCAGTTCCAGTCCCGACAAGGTTCCAGGAGGAACCATCTTTTAAGAGGGGGGCAATGTTACGATAAATTCTGACCCAAAATCGTAAATATATTTTACTAATATGTTTTTATTCATTCATGAATGTTCTAGGTATAACTACCTGACGAAAATCAGCCGAGCCGCTATAAAAACAAACCAGTTCCAGTTCATTCGAGACAATGCGGGTCAACATCCATGGGGTCTCCCCTCGGCTATAATATGACGTCACATTCCAGTATTTTCTACAAGAGTCAGGTCAGGTCTAGGCGGTCTTACGGTGCTTTATATAAAGACGAAATTTTATTGAAGAAGTCAGTTATAAGAAGCTCGCGAACCGCGATATTTAAATGTAACGAAACGTTAATAAATTATTTGTAATTAGGATTAATAAAGACTTTAATAAATTCGTAATTAGTTATCGTGAGTTTTAATAAATTAGAATATAGACAATAAACTAGAATAAAGAACTATAAATTAGAACTATATAAACTCAACAGTATTCTTGGAATAAGGATATCCTTCTAAGTCACATCAATATTTGAAAATACTTTTGATATTAATTCTTCGTTTGAAATTGTAAATTGACAAACATTTCAATTCAGGGAATCTTCCCATCCCAATATATTACCATGGATTTGAAAATACTTCACCGATATGTCATTTTGTAACGCTACTCGTATATTCGTTGTCAACATGAGACTTTTCACATATCTGCATAAAATGGATGTCTTTAAGCAAGCAAGCATTTATTTCATCAGCAGGTATTGATCTAGGAATGCCTGGCGGCGTTTGGCAAAAGTCTCCAGCTAGTAGAATCATCACACCTGTGAATAGGTTCTGGGTGCATCAAGAAAAAAACCTCCATTACCAAAATTTACTGCATTAATTATTGTATCGTAAGCTATTTTCTGTTGCTGATTTAAACTGGGACCTTGCTTTGTACGAATTGATTCAAAGCATTTCTATCGTATTGCCGTTCTCGTTCAGATTCACGACTGAATGCATCGTTCATGGGGCGATTAGGCGCAGACATTTCTCACGCAAATCCTCTAAAGATATCAATACCTCATCGTATATATATATATATATATATATATATATATATATATATATATATATATCTTTAAACAAAAGTACACTGTGCTTGGTGTAGTTTCCAAGAAGATGGAGTTCTGAATTGAGTCGGGGCTCTTCAGTTCTTCTTGGAAAACACACTCGGAGGGGGGTAGTTCTGAACTTCAACACAGCGCGTCCCAATGGCTGATAGGGAACGTCCTATAGATATGTGGGGCAGGTGTAAATAAGGCTTTGCCAAATAAACACCCGCGGATCAACTGAGAGGATGGCATAGGGCAGCAGCTATGTCCTTACAGGATCGGAGCGGTAGAGAAAATCTCTTTACCGGTCTGATACTGAATAATCACAGGCGGTAATTATGATTTAACCGGTTGTTACACTGCGAAATCACCGATTGCCGGTATAAGCAAACCCCCACTTACTGACCAACGGCTTCGGGCGGATGAGTTGGTAAGTAGGAGGGCACTCTTTTGTCCTGAGATTGAGAAATCGATCTCAAAGGCGGATAAACCAAGATCAACGGCATAAGGATGCAGAAGGCACGGAGAAACCACTGCAATGATGGCGTAAATCACAGAGTGGCCCCGAGTGCCCGGCGTCCCTTAAATGGGACAGCAGTGGCGGCGCCTGGTGTAAAATATTGGGGGTGCAAACATATTATATATACCATATAAAAATAGATAACACCATAGGCCTCCGCTTCAGCCCTATTTCCGAAAGCAAACGTTTTTTGAGTGTCGTCAAATTGTAAAAATCAAAGGATCTTATTAATAATCTACAATAAATAATGTATTTTATTTAACTTAAAATTATAATTTAGTTTTAAAATGTTACAAGCAAGTTTTGTATTGAAAATCAAGTCGCCTGTCTTTTTTTGAGATACATTCTTCAATAACCAATTCATTAAAATTTGGAATTTCTTGAATCATTTTTTTTTTCAATTGACAACATGGCGAGTTTAGTTAGTCGATCCTGGCCCATAGTACTTCTAAGGAAAGTTTTGATACGTTTCAATGTAGAGAAACATCGTTCTGCATCTGCTGTTGTCATTGGCATCGTAAAAAGTACTTGAATTAAATTAATTTCAGAAAAATATTCTTGCAAATTATTTTCAATCAAAAATTTAAGTAAGTGAACTGCTCCGGAAAGTTCTTTAAAATCGGATCTTCTATAAACAATTTCCAATTCAGTCCTTAATTTGTTTTTATTTAAAAAGGGATAATTGTTAATTGCTGATTCCAATGTCAATGTAGGAAAATTTGAGCTGTATATTTCAAAATTGTCCACTGATAATAATTTTGCTATTTCCAAATGTCCTGTAAACAAAAACCTTCTTTTAATTTCAGATAGTATAGTATCGCAAACTTCCTTAGATTGAATAATTGTGGAGACAAGAATTTCTGTCACCTTTCTTCCGTCTCTTCCTGGATTGACTATCGTCAATGTCTGTTAACTCGGTTTCTCTTATAGTGTGAATATTGTCTCTTTATTTATGTATATTTTCTTCAAATGTAGTCAGGCATCGTTTTACGATTATGGAATCAGTAGCAGTTTTTTGTATTTGTGAATATAGTATGTCAATACAATACAATATGTTCAATAACCTTAGAAGTGCACCTGCTTTTGTTATGGTACCAGATTTCCTGGATGTGGATTGTATTCTTTCCATGCACTCTATTAGGGCTTCTCTATTTTCATACACCATGTTCACCGTTCTAATTTTGAAATTCCATCTTGTAGCAGATGCTGACGCAACCCTATTTCCCACAACTTCATCTAATATGGCAACTCTCTGAGGTGAATTTGAAAAAAAAAAAATTAGTAATGTCGGTCAAATCAGCAAAAAATATGCATACATTAGTATTTATGCTTGTTGCCTGAGACATTAACAAATTTAACTGATGCGCATAACAATGTATATAATTGGCATATCTAAATTTATCCTGAATGAGTTTTTGCACACTCCCATGAACGCCACTCATGAAAAGCATGTTGAAATAATTATTGAAAAAGTAATCTAATTTGATGGAAAGTAGATGACATAACAGCACCAGCTAGGTTGGTCACAATGAATATCATCCACTATTAAATGTAAATGTTGACAGGCTTCTCGATATTTTGGGCACAATTCAAAATTAATCGTTCGTAAAGATGTGAATGAAGTTGGTCCACAAACATTAATTAATAATAAACGAAAGTAAAAACATTCGCCTTACTTGGGAGAACTGTATAAATGCTCCCCAATACATCGGTTGAACATACATTCACATATCGAGATCGGGGTATCTTTGTTCCCTACGCTGGTATTTTTGAATGATGCATTGTAAAATATTTTGTATGTATCGAAGAAGCTTGGCAGCGTTGTTACAAGTTAACGTTTAGCTCTTTGTGCTGCATTGTCTACTGTGAAATAAACTCGTCCATTCTATAGATTTGCTTTTGTGACATATTTAATCCATTTGATTGAATTGCATTGGAATGCTCTTTAAACGTTTTAGAAAACAGTGCTGAATATGGTACAATCCAGCTGTTGTTAATTTATAAAAATCTGTAATTATTAATTTTTTATTTCTTCCTCTTATCTTTTGTTGGTTGTTAACGTTTGGCTGTCCATAGTATTTTCACGATTTTTCAATTTTTTCATTATGCTTCTACATTTTTACGATAACACATTTGACAAATATTAATATAAGTAGTATTATTAGCAGACTCAAGCTAATGATTTAAATATTGTGGACGCTGAACGTTGGATGAACTTTCTTATTTTTGTACATTTTTAAACTGAATGGCATAATGCAATATTTACTTACCGATCAGCTAGACTTCCCCAAAACGGAGCAGAAAGAAATTCGACGAAAGGCCTAGAGCCTATCAGGAAACCACTCTGGCTAGCATTCATTCCCATCTGCTTGAAGTAAACGCCCATTAGAGGAAATAGTGATCCGAAAGCGGAGTAAAAGAAAAAGTAGAAGCTCTTAACCACAAGAAGTTCTTGATCGACGGGACCAAAGATCATTTCTATCATATCGCTTTTTCCTCGAATTTTGTGCGTCGATTCTTTCGGCTGAGGATATCTATAAAAAACAATAAATTAGCATACAGTTTTTAGTGCTTATACTGCTAGCATTACTGTATTAAATTGTTAAAAGTTACATATAATACAACCTTGACTAACTAAAGATGTTAGAGAACTCTAACATCTTTATCTCCATTTGTTATCCCTATACTTTTGTCTGCGCTACATTCTCTAGCTTAGATCTTTAGTAAATAACACACACACACACACACACACACACACACACACATATATATATATATATATATATATATATATATATATATATATATATATATATATATACACATATTGTTTGAGTTTAGTTCTTGAACCTTAATATATATTTTTTAGTGGATTTTCTTGGGCTTAGGTTCATAAAAAAATTTGTTTTGATACTAAGACATTTTCATATATTTTTTTCGACGTTTCGGCAGGAAATCCATGCCTTTTTCAAGAAGTAATATTGACTAAAAAAATTTTATGAAAGACATAATACGGTTTAAAAGTGCAACTTTTGACTTACCAAGCATGTAAAAATTTGGTGCTAACAAGTATACATAGACGTCACAATTAAAATAATATTAAAAACATAGGACATACCCACTAAGTCACTACATGTAAAATGTATTTTAAATATAATATGTTGTTTATTGATGTTAGTTTATCGTCCACGAAAAAATTAATAAAGAAACAAAATACAAAATGGAATATCGTAGAGTACTGAAAAGTCAAGGAAATGTTTACCCACAAGTAACGAGAAGAAAAAGAGAAAATGACACAAAGGAAATCTTCCAATTTAACGACAAAATTGGAAGTATAGTCTCAAATAGACTAGGCATTTCATACAGTAAAAAGTTTCTATGAAATATATTAAAGTCAAGTTAATCCAAAAATCATCGTATAGCCAATACAAAAGGTACAGAATGTAGGATCGGAGGATATACCAGATATATCACGGAAGGAAATTCAACATGCTCTCAAAAATATAAAAAATAATAGAACTCTGGGAAAGATGGTGCAGTCATTGAGACAATTAAACTTTAATTTAAACGCTTTTGATATACACGAATCCAAATAATCCATTAAACAATGGATTTATTGTCTCGTATAAATACTGCTAATTTTTTTAAATATTGATATCCAAAAATGGAAAAATCGGCTAATTGATGATGATGATGGCAATCTAAGTCAATATTATACTGGAATTACCTAGCTTTTTAACCTCTAAGAATCAAAAGAAACCTAGCAGTTTACAGATTCACTTTTTTTTTTCATTTTCGAAGATATGAATTTGATTTTGTTTCTCCAAAGAAAGATCAATATAATCTTGGCTGCAGTTTTAAAACTGAAAACATTACTGAGGGTGTTTACCAGGCTCATATTTTGCATAAAGGTCTCGGAGAGAGAAAGGACAAAGAAAAAAAATGTCACATCAAACTTAATATTTACCGTTGATCTACGTCTTATTTAGTCTATTCAGCTTCCCTACATTATTAGACAAATCTCCAAGTTTACAACCTATACTATTTATAATTTTAAGACTCATTGTTCTGAAGCTATTTTCTTGTGGCATTTTAAATTAATTACTATTTAACTGGGAATAAGCCACAATTAAAGGTTAAAATACGTTTATTAACGTTTCAATTTCCACTTCGAAAATCGTTCTCAAAATATAAACAGTAAATTAAACAAATTTTGTTTTTTGTTACTTAGTGAAAAATTATTGTAATAATTTAATTTTATCTGACTCATTTATATTGACAATTTAGACATATATTATGCATTTTAAAGTAGACGACTTTAAAATGATATTGCCAATATTGTTGAGTTACGCTCCTGGGACGACTTTACTTATAAGATCGTTCATTCGATTACATGAATTTTTTCTGACGGATATTCTCAAGTTAAATTTGATTTCATGTAATCGATTGAACTATCTTAGAAGTAAAGTCGTCCCAGAAACGCAACTCAATTGTATTGGCAATATCATTTTAAAGTCATCTACTTTAAAATGCATAATGTATGTCTGAATTGTCAATACAAATGAGTCAGATAAAATTAAATTATTAGAAAAATTTTTCACTAAGTAACAAAAAACAAAATTTGTTTAATTTACTGTTTGTATTTTGAGAACGATTTCCGAAGTGGAAATTGAAAAGTCAATAAGCGTATTTTAACCTTTAATTGTGGCTTATTCCTAGTTAAATAGTAATTAATTTAAGACTTATGTTGCGTTTTGCTTTTTGTCATATAAAAACCAAGGAGTTACATCATATGAATTTTTATTGCAGCATTTTATTTAATTTTATTCTTTCTATTGACAGAACCTATTTAGAAGAAGTAATATTTTTCATTGATGGATGTCGAAACCAAAATCAAAATGCTACCTTATCGAACAGACTTCTTCTTGCTGCTGTTAAAATTAGTTTCGTAATTACTTCTGAATAATTTATTACTTCTAATAGAAGTAATAATTATTTCTAATAAATTCTGAAATTTACTATAGTCTACAAAACAGTTCGCATTAATTCTAGATAAGAAGTATAATTACTTAAACTTACTTACATATTTAAAAAACAAATTAGTACACTTCCCTATATACGGTCCATTAAACATTGACGCATTGACAGTAAAATCATAAATATAGTGCAAACATTAAATTGGAACCAAAGTGCCATAATTCAAATTGATGGGCAACACTCAGAAGAAATGAGGATCTGTAGAGGAGTTAAACAGGGATGCGTTTTATCGCCACTTTTGTTTAACTTATATTCTGAAGAAATTTTAAAAAACACGCTCAATAATATGGAAGCATTAGTCACCGTTAACGGAAAGTTAATTAACAACTTAAGATATGCAGACGACACTGTGATCATATCAACGAGTATAGAGGATCTACAGCATCTTATCGAAAGCTTGAGTATGAATAGTGCTGAGATGGGAATTACTATAAACGCGAAAAAAACGAAGTACATGCTAATTGCAAAACACCACAAAATATACATCACCTATTGACAATCAATGGTAACGTGATAGAACAAGTAGAAAAATATCAGTACTTGGGAACTTTGATCAATGAAACCAATGATCATACTGTCGAAATAAACAGGCGAATAGAGATTGGCAGATCAGCATTTATACGAATGAAGCCACTCCTAACGTGCAAAAATCTAAATTTGGAGATCAGACTATGTACCATTCGCTGTTATATATTTTCAATATTATTATACGGAGCTGAGACTTAGACATTAAAAAAATATAATTTAAAAAGAATCGAGGCCCTCGAACTCTGGTTATACCGCAAAGTATTGAAAATATCATGGACTGATAGAATTACAAATAAAGAAGTACTGGAGATGGTTGGTAAAGAAACAGAACTAATCACCATAATACAAACCAGAAAACTGGAATACCCAGGCCACGTGATGAGAGGACCAAAATATGAAATTTTGAGACTCATAATACAGGAAAGATTCAAGGAAGAAGATCTGTTAACCGAAGGCAGAACTTATGGTTAAAGAATCTACGTGATTGGTATCAATGCAGATCGATTGATTTGTTTAGAGCATCAAGTTCAAAATAAAAATAGCCATTATGATTGCCAACTTCCGTAGGGAAACGGCACTCTAAGAAGAAGAAGAAGGTTGTGTGGTTACGAGATCTATACAATATAGTCCTAAAAGCTATATAATCAAAATAAAAATACATTTTTTTTATCTATTCGAAGAGTTCATCGACAACCGATGAATGACAGGCATTGTATGTCAGAAGAATACCAATTCAAATAACAAAATATAATCACCATCCAGGATTTAAAAATCATAATTCCCAAAGACGTGCATTTTTGATGATGCCTGCCTAATAGTACAATGTTTTTTCTTTTTGATTTTGTGATTTCTGTTTCTTGTTATAACTGTACTTATATATTTATAAATTTGGAATTAAAATTTTATTAAGTTATGCTAGTGAATTTTGATGTCAACGATTAAGGTCACTGTAATTGTAAATAATGAGATACAATAATAATAATTATTAAGTGTAACGATTTGATTTCACTAGTTTGAATTTGGTTTATTTCGCAAACAAATACCGACATGATTTGATGGCATCATTAAGCTCCGTCGCGACAATCAGTCGCTTGACAAGGGTCGTTACGAGAACTATTTGACCTGCCTTCCGTTAAATATCCAATTCAAATATCTTTCTCACGGAAAATCCATTACTTGTTGAAAATCTCCTTTCAGTTATTTCATTTCGTTGCTATACAAAGAACAGGCAAAAGACATTATGTAAATAGGAAAATTATGTAAATATCTTTATAGATGTGATCTGCAGGCATTTTTAAAATGTCAAATTCGATTTCATCATTTCTTTTTCACCTAGCTTTTCTTATTTTATTGAAAAATAGAAAGAATTTAAATTAAATTGTCAGTGAGTAGGTAAACGTGAGAATTGTCAATAAATATATTTTTTTACAAAACAGTCTGTCGAAAGTAACACCAGTTAGCATCATAAGTAATATATGTGCAATAAGCCAATAAGCTGCAGTTAGTATAACAGACGCAAATTCCTAACAAATTTCAAACTATCACTTTTCGTAATAATCTTTTGCAAATATAGCCTAAAAATAGTTTGGATAAAACTGGATAAAACTTGGCTATGTGCGGAAAGATAAATGCAGCAGAAAATTATAAGATAAACTGAAGAACAATAAAGTAACTAAAAACAAACAGCAAAGACGCAGCTTGTCAAAAAATTCTTTAAGTAGTTTCACCGTGATGAATTTATAGCAGGAACTGTAGAGGCGTTATTCTGTTAAGAGTAATTTTTGAGAGACATTAACCCTTTACAAACGATATTGCTGGACATTATCAATGCGGATTCAGTGCCAGAAAGCACATACACCAAATACACGCACGTGGTAAATTTTAGGAAAGGCACTATAATTTAATATAGATACACACTATCTTTTCATAAGATGTTATGAGATGTTATGAGAAGAATATGAAAAGGCTT